ATCTTCAAAAACTACAGTCCCCAAAGGTAGGTTGACAACATTACATGCAACCTCTTTGTTCTGTAAGGAAAAAAAAAGTATGAAGAAACTCTGTTTAAAATTTAAACTGAGAACAAACAATTAAAGATATTGGGCAAATATCATATAAAAGTACTATGGTTTCCATGTAGCACAATTAAATATTTATTAAAAAATTTTATTAATAAATATTTAAAACATGTGATAACATTTAGATATGTATTGAACAAATAAAATAATTTAAGCACTTGTTTTCATTCATTAATCTTATGCAATCAATGTTAAATAGTATAAGTCATACTGCCACAATGAAACAATTTTAAGTGAACATAACCTAGGAAATATAAAGAAAATTTTTAGGAAAGTTTTTTTTACAAAAATAAAATTATAAAAAAAAAATTTACATTTCTTGTCTGTACAGAAAATTCCACATCATCTCCAAGGTTAAGATTTTTAAAAGCTTTGCATTCACTGGAATGAAAAAATATCTAAAAAGAAAACATAGTTTTTTAAAAGAAAGAAATTAGTATAACAACAAAGTCATTTTCTAAAGGATAAAAAAATATATCTCACCTCTTTAACTACATCTGCTCGTTCAATAAAACCAAATGTTTCCTTTAGTGCACAAATTACACCCTGATAACGTGCAGGAGGAGGTTTCTCCAAACGAATATCAAAAGCCCTAAGGTTTCCTGTATTTTTATCAGTAGCAATTCGAAATGTGACTCGATCACTAGGCTGCAACTCTGCCGCTTCATCAATATCGTCTGCGGAGTACGGCAGGAAAAAGCATTCACCTCTATTTTCATATGCAACTCTTCCCTACAAAAAAGGAAGGGAAAAAAATCCATTATTTTGGGGGTTAATTTGACAAGATGAAAAAATATTTATTTTTCTTATTTAATCTGAAAAAGAAATTCATTATTTATTCGTAAGTTAAACTAGTCAGAAACTTTTATAATCATGTTCTTAAGCAATAAAGATAGAAAGGTCGACGTGACTTAAATAACTTGATTCACATTGCAAATTAATTCATTTAATCTTTTTATTGATTGAAAAAATTGTTGAAGTTATGTTTTACTGGGTGAGCAGCCAAATCTTTCAAAAAAAAAAAAAAGCAACATTCAACATTCCTTAAGGTATAACATATTATATTTTTCGAAAGCATAATTTTTTAAGAATGTTAAATTTTTTGAATTAACAATTACAAC